GGGGGTGTCTGTGGACTTATTATGATTTTAGGCAGCCTCTCTGCTAATGGGTGGGGTTGTGTTCCTGTCTTGCTAGTTGTTTGGCATAGGATGTCCAGCACTGTAGCTTGCTGGTCATTGAGTGAAGCTGGGTGCTGGTGTTGAGATAGAGATCTCTGGGAGATTTTCGCCGTTTGATATTATGTGGAGCTGGGAGGTCTCTTGTGGACCAGTGTCCTGAAGTTGGCTCTCCGACCTCAGAGGCAGAGCACTGACTCCTGGCTGCAGCACCAAGAACCTTTCATCCACACGGCTCAGAATAAAAGGGAGAAAAAGTAGAAAGAAAGAATTAGTAGAAGTAGAAAGAAAGAAAGAAAGAAAGCAAGAAGGGAGGGAGGGAGGAAGGAAAGTACGAAAGAAGATAAAGTAAGATAAAATAAAGTAAGATAAAATATAATAAAGTTATTAAAATAAAAAAATAATTATTAAAAAAAAACACAAAAAATAAAAACGGACGGATAGAACCCGAGGATAAATGGTGGAAGCAAAGCTATACAGAATAAATCTTGCTCTCAAAGTCCAAGTCCTCAATTTGGGATGATTCTTTGTCTATTCATGTATTCCACAGACATCAAGTTGATTGCGGAGCTTTAATCCGCTGCTTCTGAGGCTGCTGGGAGAGATTTCCCTTTCTCTTCTTTGTTCTCACAGCTCCCAGGGACTCAGCTATGGATTCGGCCCTGCCTCTGCGTGTAGGTCGCCAGAGGGCGTCTGTTCTTCGCTCAGACAGGACGGGGTTAAAGGAGCCGCTGATTCGGGGGCTCTGTCTCACTCAGGCCGGAGGGAGGGAGGAGCACGGAGTGCGGGGCGGGCCTGCGGCAGCAGAGGCCGGCGTGACGTTGCAGCAGCCTGTTGCGCGCCGTGCGTTTTCCTGGGGAAGCTATCCCTGGATCTCGTGACCCTGGCAGTGGCGGGCTGCACAGGCTCCCTGGAAGGGAGGTGTGGATGGTAACCTGTGCTCGCACACAGGCTTCTTGGTGGAGGCAGCAGCAGCCTTAGCGTCTCATGCCCGTCTCTGGGGTCCGCGCTTTTAGCCGCGGCTCGCGCCCGTCTCGGGGGCTCCTTTAAGCAGAGCTCTTAATCCCCTCTCCTCGCGCACCAGGAAACAAAGAGGGAAGAAAAAGTCTCTTGCCTCTTTGGCAGGTCCAGACCTTTTCCCGGACTCCCTCCTGGCTAACCGTGGCGCACTAACCCCCTGCAGGCTGTGTTCACGCCGCCAACCCCAGTCCTCTCCCGGCGCTCCGACCGAAACCCGAGCCTCAGCTCCCAGCCCCGCCCGCCCCCGCGGGTGAGCAGACAAGCCTCTCGGGCTGGTGAGTGCCGGTCGGCCCTGATCCTCTGTGCGGGAATCTCTCCGCTTTGCCCTCCGCACCCCTGTTGCTGCGCTCTCCTCCGCGGCTCCGAAGCTTCCCCCTCCGCCACCCGCAGTCTCCGCCCGAGAAGGGGCTTCCTAGTGTGTGGAAACCTTTCCTCCTTCACGGCTCCCTCCCACTGGTGCAGGTCCCGTCCCTTTCCTTTTGTCTCTGTTTATTCTTTTTCCTTTTGCCCTACCCAGGTACGTGGGGGGTTTCTTGCCTTTTGGGAGGTCTGAGGTCTTCTGCCAGCGTTCAGTAGGTGTTCTGTAGGAGTTGTCCCACGTGTAGATGTAATTCTGGTGTGTCTGTGGGGAGGAAGGTGATCTCCACGTCTTACTCTTCCGCCATCTTCCCGGAAGCCTCCTGACTGTAATTTCTAATGAGACATTTTCTCTAAGTAGATCCCGCCATAATCATTGGAGTCTGGGGCTGACAAGATGTTAAGAGAATAAGCAGCACCTTGCTTTTAAAACCACATCTTTGATGAAGGTAAAATGTGTTCTCATCCCACAGGAAGTGTTCCTTTTCACATGAAATCCTCCAGGATGATGAGTTCTAATCCTGAGGAAGACCCTCTGGACACGTTTCTCCAGTATATTGAGGATATGGGGATGAAGGCCTACGACGGATTGGTTATTCAGAATGCATCAGACATTGCGCGAGAAAATGATCGCTTGAGAAATGAAACAAACCTGGCCTACTTGAAGGAAAAGAATGAAAAACGCCGAAGACAAGAAGAAGCAATAAAACGGTACGTATAAATGAAAGTGTTCTGAGTTTTGCACACCTCAGGGTATCTGTGAGTTCTGCAGAGGCTGTGATGCTGTCACCTGGTCAAGAAGGGGTTTGTCAAAGTTAGACTTGAGGAGAGAAAGTGAAAGTGTCTTCTCAACTGTGATGAAAACACAACGCAGCCTACTGACAGGACACTTGCCTTAGTTAACAAAAGTTATTTACTTTTGTGTCGTGAGTATGGAGACGCAGACGGGGTGGGGAAAGAATTCAGTTTCCTCTAAATAAAAGTTCTTACTGAACAATCTCTCGATAAAAGATTAAGGGAACACACACTTTAATATTTAATGAAAATCCCTATATTTAACGGTCTTTGTATCATCCTTATAAGAGAGTTCACCATCTTCCTAGATTATGAAAAGACTTGTCAGTAATTATAATTATGTGAGTTTCTGAAGTGGAATACTCAGTGTGTGCCCTCTGTGTAGAATTCTGTGGCTGTTACATCTCTTGTCTGGTACTGAGTGCCCCAGGTTTGTTCAAATGAAATGACTTTTATGCTGCAAAACCTACCTGCTACAAGCAGATGAGCCCCGATTGCAGCCTCCAAATGGAGGCTAAGTTCCCTAGCGTGCTGAGACCAAAGTAAGGATACACATCTTTTGATTTTTCCAAAAAATGTTACAATATTTTCTGAGTGTATGTGTTGCGGGGTTACAGGTAGAGATATGTGTTTGATGGAGTCCTATTTCTTCAATGGAGTCCATTTACTAAGTGCAAAGAGACAGAATTTAGGAAATGAATCCATCAATTGCCTGGATAACTGAATGGTAATAATAAGCAATTTTGATAGCCAGTTGGTGGATTTTTCATCTAATCTGGAATTAGTCCTTTTGCTTACTCTCTGTGAACATTATGATATGAAGGAAAAGAACATATTCTAAGGTAAACTATTGATTCTTATAAAGAAGCTAGGTAAGGATGCACTATTCCAATCATTTAATGGCAAGCAACTCTGTACGAGAGGGTGGGAAGGAAGAGAGAGAGAAAGAGGGCGAGAGATTTGGAAACTTTGTACAAGATTGGTTGAAAGAGTGTCATCTTTTTTCTCTGGACTATTCAAATGGAAGTCTATTCTATTACCAGGTATACAAAGATTTGTAAAATGGCATGCTTGATAAACATATTCATAATTGCAGATGTTATTCTGAGATATGTTATTTTTTATTTCTACCTAATTTTAGTTGGTATCACAGGTTCCTTTCTAGGATGCACAAGTGCCCTTTCTTAGAACAACTTTTTTTTTTTTTCTGCTAATTACCTCTGATGAACTTCTTTTTTGTTAACCAAGATGTATTTTTTTATACATTTATTTATTTTATTTATTTATTTTTGACTGCATTGGGTCTTCGGGCAAGCGGGCTACTCTTCGTTGCAGTGCCCACGGGTTTCTCATTGCTGTGGCCTCTCTCGTTGCGGAGCACTGGCTCTAGAGCACAGGCTCAGTAGTTGTGGCATGTGGGCTTAGTTGCTCCGAGGCATTTGGGATCTTCCCAGACCAGGGGTCGAACCCGTGTCCTCTGCACTGGCAGGCAGATCCTTAACCACTGCACCACCAGGGAAGCCCTGAACTTCTATATGTATGTAAACATTTTAATTTACTTTTGTGAGTCTAAGGTTTCAGAAACTCAGAACAAAAAAGGTTATCCTACGTGATTTCTAAAGTAACTTCATCTCTAAAATCTAAAGTTTCCCAGTCTTGCCATTAAACATAATTCACTCTTTTCTCTAAGCATAGAGACAAAATTATTTGCTGAATAGTTCTATTAGATTGTACAGAGCACCCCAGGGTGCTTATCACTGTATTATTAGCTTCTGTGTTTCATCAACAACCTCAGAAAGTTTCTATCTAAAGATCCATAGATATTAAGAAAGTAAAAATGACTCATTTTAAGTGGTCAAGTGTTCAAAGGGGCATTACCAACAATTCCAAGGAGTCAAAAGTCCAGGGGACAGGGGCTGGAATTTAGGTAGGTGGAGACACAGCAAAACCCTGTCATTGCATGGTAAATGAGGTCCAGGAAATTCAGTTACGTAAACTTTGTGTTAGTTCCTGCTACATTAACAAAGCAATATTTTCTAGAATTATATTACAAACATAAAGATAGTTCAGATCACACATTGAATTGAAAAAGTCCCAAACGATCTGGACAATTTTGCTTCCACATCACACTGTCAACACAATATAAAACTGTAGTCTGGCCCTGCTTAAGAACAGAGTAAGGTCAAGAGAAGTCACCCACCCTGTGTGTGTGTGTTGGGGGGGAGGTGTATGTTTAATCAATGTCGATGTCTTGTTTGAAACAGTTCTTCTGAGTATGAGTGTTCTTTCTTGTATCAAATAAGTAGAGATTCAAAGAGGGGAGAAAAAAAGGTACTTGTCAGTTTTATTTTTTAATAAATTTATTTATTTATTGGCTGTGTTGAGTCTTCGTTGCTGCATGCTGGCTTTCCCTAGTTGCAGAGAGCGGGGGCCACTCTTTGTTGTGGTGCGTGGGTTTCTCATTGTGGTGAGCACGGGCCCCAGGTGTGCGGGCCTCCGCAGTTGTGGCACACGGGCTCAGTAGTTGTGGCTCCGGGCTCTAGAGCACAGGCTCAGTAGTTATGGTGCACGGGCCTAGTTGCTCCGTGGCATGTGGGATGTGGGATCTTCCTGGACCAGGGCTCGAACCCATGTCCCTCGCATTGGCAGGCAGATTCTTAACCACTGTGCCACCAGGGAAATCCCTACTTGTCAGTTTTAAGTTAGCAGTTTATCTTTCTATAATCAGATTAGGAGGCAAATGAAGAACCCACTGGTAGCAGGAAGAAACAAGAGCCTTCTAGGATCTGGCATTTGAGGAGATAGATGTTCAGTTACTGTGCACTTTCATTGTTTCCATAGCAGGACATAAGCCAGAGATGTGGGAGTAGGTATGCCTGAAGCCAGCTTACTCTTAAGGTTCCATAGCAATGTTGCTTGTAAGGCTGTTGTTGCCACAGTAGTTGGTGTTACCCACAGGAGAGTTATAAATGTGTGTACTTTATGTCGCAGTGACCTAGTGACGGTGGCATTTTAGATGATGATGCTATTCAGAATTTGTCAGTAGATGTGGGTAGAGTTGAAGAATAAACCAACTTCCCAGGCATGGGGACACCAGCTAGAGGTCAACAGACTGCTAGGTCATAGTAAAGTGAGCTGATGTTCAAGTTGAATTCTGACCCCACCCATGAAATAAGGGGTCAGGCATAGAGGCTTTAATCCTGGAAGCAAGAAATGATGCTGAACCCGTGAGCTAGATAGGGCATCTCTCACCTGAGGTCAAGGTGATTAGAGACAATGAGCAAACAATGCACACAATATGTGACATGGTTGATGATGTTCAAGTTACAATGTAAGTTTCATGAGAAGAATGACTCTTTGTATATACAGTTCTTAGAACAGGATCTGAAGCCAACTTATTGTTCAATAAACAACTTGCTGTTAAGTATATTCATTCATTGGTGAAATATTTATTGAAACCTTACTAAGTGCCAGGAAATGTTCTAGACCTTTATGAGACAGCAATGAACAGAACAAAGTTCCTGGTTGTAAAAGAATTATATTCTGAGAGAAGGGTGAAAGAGAGGCAACATGAAAGAAATAAGTATAAATGAATATATATGATAGGTGGTAATAAATTTTTACACTGTAAAACAAAGCAGGGTGAGGGCAATAAGAATAGAGGCCAGGGAAGACCTCTGAAATCCAACTACAGCTGAGCAGAGACATTAGACATTGGGAGCCTGTTGCCAGAGACAGGAGCCACATGGCTGTCTGGGGAAGAGAATTCTCGACAGAAGAAACAGCAAGTTTGATGTGTTCCAAGAAGGGAAGGTGTCATGTGGTGACCAAGCAAAGATGGAAGGGGTCTAAGTTCAACTGGTAGTGGGGCCACCAGGTAATGTAAAGCATTATAAGTTCATGTTTTACTCTAAAAGAAAAAAAAAATATTCATTGAAGATTTCTTGAGCAGAGGTATGGCATACCCTAAACTGCCCTTTTTAACAAGGATTACTCTGGTTTTTATGTGTTGAACAGATGGACAGGGCATAGTTGGATGCAGGGAATTCAGAGAGAAAGCTTTTGTAGTAATTCAAGTGAGAGATGATGGTAGTTTGGACCAGGGTGGTACTAGTAAATGTGGCATAAAATGCTAAAATTTGGGGTACCAGTAAAATTTTCTAATTGATGAGACATAGAAGTTGAATAAGAGAAAGGAATTGAAGATGGCTCTCAAGTTTGTCTCGTTGCTGTTCTGGTTCTGTTGTTGTTATGTTATGTTTCGTTTTTCCTGAAACAACTAGAAGAATGCTGCATCCACTTAATGAAATGGTAAAGACTAAAACAGGGAGTAAGTTTAGTTTAAATGGTGGGGGAATGGGAGTTCAGCTTTCATAAGCCAGTGCTGGGAGCTCTTTTAGATATTCAAGTGGAGAATTCTGGATAGGCAGTTGGATCCAGGGCTCATGGTGGAGATCAAAACTGGAGGTTTTAATATGAGAGTCATAGATTTTTTTACAGTCATGAGCCTGGTTAAGGATCCCTAGGACCTAAAATTAGATAGAGAGGATAAAAGCACATAGGACTGTTCCTTGGGACACCTAATTGTTTACATGACAGGAACAGTAGAAGAATCCAGTAAGAACAGCTAGTGGGATAAGAGAAGAATCACCAAGGCGGGTGTTGCCTCAGAGTGAAATGACAAAAGTGATTAAAGAAGAGAGAGAGATTTTACTGGTAGATCAAATATATTGAATCCTGAGGATTGAATAATGCCTTTTACTACATTGGTGTTGTTGACAAGAACAGTTTTGGTGGAGGTCTGGGGACAAAACGCAGTGGAGTCATGTTCACAAGAGGATGCAAAAAGAGGAATTGAAACAAGGAAGAGAGGAATAGAGAACTATTTTAGGAACTTTCGAGGTTAAACAAAATTC